TATAACAAGACGGTATCATCTGCATAAAAGTGGATATTTTAAGTCTGTGCACATAAACTAAACGTCAGCCAGCAGAGGGGATGTATTGCAAGTTATTGATTGATTTATGGACACTTTGACAGAAATGACAGATACAGATCGCACTGGCAGGAAGTCAGAAACAGAAACAGCATAAAGAATCCATAAAATGTTCAAAATAAAATACCTAATACACGCAGACTCCAGATCAAACTTAAAGTGTAAAATAACTGAAAAGGAAGCGCGGATATCAAAGGAAAAGGAAAAATACACAAGTTAACACCGCCGAGCAGGAAGAAGCTTCTGAAACGCTCTCGGTGAGATCTGAAGATATGCTGATGTGAAGTGTGTGTGTGTGTGTGTGTGTGTGTGTGTGTGTGTGTGTGTGTACTTACTTCCAAGGTTGTGTGCCGGGCTGTAACAAACACAGAAATTAAAAAATTAAAGATCAAAAGATAAAAGCATTAAAGAAAATAAAGTTTCCAGTGCCTCTAGTATGACTGTGGAGTCCCTCAGGGTTCTGTTCTCGGCCCCTTTCTGTTTTCTGTTTCTCATACAATCAGTTTGTGTGTGACTTCAAAACTGTAAATAAAGTTTATTCAAACAGAAAGACTCACTGTGTTGGGGTGAGATCCTGTGAAGAGAAAAATAAATGGGTTAGGGTTACCTTGGAGAAATTCACTAATATAAGTCCCATATTTATACCTCCAGATTCAATATTTGACCATATTTGAGCTACTGTAAAAACACTTTGCTCAATAATTGGATAATATGGATGGTATATTTGACTTCTACACATATAAGAATACAAGTATATTTAATATCAAGCATTTTTACTGCACCAATTTAGAGAAATTCAACAATAAAATTCCATATTTGTACCTGCTTTTACTGTACCTCAAATATGAGAAAAGATGCCACTTGGAGGTACAAACTTGGAACTTTTATTATTGAATTTCTCCACATTGGTGCAGTAAAATGTTTTTTATTCATCTTGGGCCCATGAAACACTTTAATGTAACATATTTTATTTTAAATGTAGGTCCGAATTATAGCTTACTGTTCTTAATACCTTTATTTTGAAAACCGGAAGTGAATACGCTGTAAATTTAAGTGCGGCTGATTTGACCAAAGTTATCATATCACAGTCGTTATCTCGAGATCTCGAATTAATTATATCGTTATCACGGGAAAACGGAGGAAATAAAATGTATGAATACATGGCCCTTTAGGGCTTCCGTAGTTTTCTGTCTTTAATAGAAAGGAAGTAAAACCAAAGGCAGGAAATAAACAATGTGTTTACCTCTGATGGGGGACGGGTTGGATCCTGAACCTTTGCCCGGTTTGTTGTCACGAAAGATCTGCGGCGGCCCCGAAGCAACTGAACACAACAGAACCGTTTAATCCACAAGCTGCCCCCCACCCAGCTGCCCCCCACCCACCCAGCTCCCCCCCCACCCAGCTGCCCCCCCCACCCACCCAGCTGCCCCCCCACCCAGCAGCAGGTACTCACGTTTCCCTGCCGGTCTCGGGAGTGGTCTCTCAACCTGGACGAGGAGGACTCTCCGGGCTGCGGGGGGGGGCACAGAGGGTTAGTACCTGAACCCGCACTGGGAACCAGTGTTTGAAACCAGTTTGGGACAGACTCACCATCCGGGGAGAGAGGGATGGAGACTGGGGGCCGGGGACACAGAGCAGGGGGCCCGCTTCTGGATGACACGTTATCTGCACACACACATTTATCTAGTGTTAGCTCACAGCTAGCAAGCTAACAGGTATATGTGATCTATAAGCTAACAGCTAACAGCTAACAGCTAACAGCTACCAGCTACCACAGGCTACCAGCTACCACAGGCTAACAGCTACCACAGGCTAACAGCTAACACAGGCTAACAGCTAACAGCTACCAGCTAACAGCTACCACAGGCTAACAGCTAACAGCTACCACAGGCTAACAGCTAACAGCTACCAGCTAACAGCTACCACAGGCTACCAGCTACCACAGGCTAACAGCTACCTATATATTGATCTTCCCCGATGGGAATGGTGGGGAACACTCTGCCCATCGGCAGGTCGTCTGGAGGTTCGGAGGGAGGAGGTTCGTAATCGTTGGACCCGTCTGCGTCATCATTTGGGGACTCGTAGTCTCCGCTGCCGTCTTCATCGCCGCTGTACGGACTCTCATAGTCATCATCAAACTCTTCATCCTGAGACACGGAGAGGGGGGTGTGAGTGAACGCCATAGCAACAGCAACCTAGCAACCAGTGAAGCAGAAAGAAGCTTAAAATGTAAATATTCCAGTAAAACCTACAAACTCGTCTTCAGCCCAACCCTGAACGTCAGCCGCGGTCTCTGCACAGGACAACACACGTTAGCACGTTAGCACGTTAGCAGGCCTCAGTACACTCACAGCTCCATCATTCATACTATCAACACCTCACAGCACAAACAACTAAACACAAACAACAAGAAGGACATTAAAGTAAACATTTTATAGACTTTAATTACAACAATAAGAGCTTAGCTTGTGTTAGCTAACAGCTAGCTATAAGCTAACAGCTGATCAATAGAGTTCCTACCTGGTTCATGATATTTGGGAGTCGGTCTGTAGAAAGAAAACAAATTATTATTATTATTATTATTATTATTATTATTATTATTATTATTTCCATCATCAGTAAACCTGTTTATAAACACAGTAAAAGCACTAAAAGTACTACACACACACCACACACACACACACACACATACATATACATTTACACGCACACACACCACACACACACACACACACACACACACACACACACACACACATACACACACACACACACACACACACACACACACACACACACAAACATAGTATGTAGTTCATGCTGTAGTATCTGAAGCAATATATATATATTATATTATATTATATTATATTGTATATATATTTATAACAATATAATATAATATAATATAATATAATACATAACACCACAGATATTCATATAGTAACTTTAATGGATGTATCATATAATAATAATAATATAACTGTATAAATGTGATAATGTACATTATCAGCAGTTAATGATCAGAAGATATTAAATATATCAGTAAAAACAGAAATAAATATTAATATGAACGTACTTTTTACCGAAGAGGCCTCGTTTCTCCTCCTTCTTACTGATCTCAGTGCTGATCTTAGAGATCATCCTGATTACAGACAGATAAACATTATTCAAACGTCTCTTCATCACTGGGAACCACGTTAGCTCTCTGCTAGCTCTCTGTTAGCTCTCTGTTAGCTCTCTGCTAGCTCTCTGCTAGCTCTCTGTTAGCTCTCTGTTAGCTCTCTGCTAGCTCTCTGTTAGCTCTCTGTTAGCTCTCTGCTCCTGTTAGCTCTCTGTTAGCTCTCTGCTCTCTGTTAGCTCTCTGCTCCTGTTAGCTGTTAGCGTATCTAAAATGTTTGCTGTGCTTTAATAAATGTTGAGCAACTCTGTTGGGCTTAAAATGCTATATGCTAGGCTAATCTATGCTGAAAACACAACCACATTGTGAAGATGGTTCAAAGATAAAAGACACACAGTCACATGTTAGGTTAGCTAATGCTAATGCTAATGTCCATGAGTCATTAGTTAGCCTGTAGCTGTTGCAGTTCGGTACTCACGGAGCGTGAAGTTTGGGGAACTTCTGCAGATCGTTATCACTCAGATTCTGTAAAAAACAGACGTCATTAATCATTAATCATTAATATTAATCATCAGATCAACAGCTGACACACTGCTTTCACTCCTCCTTCACTCCTCCTTCACTCCTCATGTCCTTTAAACCATCCTTCTTTCCTTCCCTTCATCCTCCTCCTCTTCCTCTGGTTTTCTGGAGGACGTTGTTGTTTTGAAGTTTCTGAACTCACCACGAATCTGGATCCACTGATGGAGTTCTTCAACACGGCTTTATCACAGCCGGACAGGTTCATCTGCAACACGTCAACAACACGTTAACAACACGTCAACAACACGTCAACAACAGGTTAACAACACGTCGACAACAGGTTAACAACACGTCGACAACACATCAACAACAGGTTAACAACACGTTAACAACACGTCAACAACAGGTTAACAACACGTCAACAACATGTTAACAACACGTCAACAACATGTTAACAACACGTCAACAACAGGTTAACAACACGTTAACAACAGGTTAACAACAGGTTAACAACATGTTAACAACACGTCAACAACAGGTTAACAACACGTCAACAACACGTCAACAACATGTTAACAACACGTCCAACAACAGGTTAACAACATGTCAACAACACGTCAACAACAGGTTAACAACAGGTTAACAACACGTTAACAACATGTTAACAACACGTCAACAACAGGTTAACAACACGTCAACAACAGGTTAACAACACATTAACAACATGTTAACAACACGTCAACAACAGGTTAACAACACGTCAACAATATGTTAACAACACGTCAACAACAGGTTAACAACACGTCAACAACACGTTAACAACATGTTAACAACACGTCAACAACAGGTTAACAACACGTCAACAACAGGTTAACAACACGTCAACAACAGGTTAACAACACGTCAACAACAGGTTAACAACACGTCAACAACACGTCAACAACACGTCAACAACACGTCAACAACACGTTCATTACCTCACATCCTTTCAACCAGGTTACCACACCTCCTCACGTTTCCTTCACTCTCTCCTCCTTTCCTTCACTCCCTCCTTCTTTCCTTCCCTCTCTCCTCCTTTCCTTCACTACCTCCTCCTTTCCTTCACTCCCTCCTTCTTTCCTTCCCTCCTCCTTTCCTTCACTACCTCCTCCTTTCCTTCACTCTCTCCTCCTTTCCTTCCCTCCCTCCTCCTTTCCTTCCCTCCCTCCTTCTTTCCTTCCCTCCCTCCTCCTTTCCTTCACTCTCTCCTCCTTCCCTTCCCTCCCTCCTCCTTTCCTTCCCTCTCTTTTAATGTATTAGTTAGTTAACAGACAGATATGTTGTATAATGATGGAAGTTGAATAAATGTTGTTTATCAGTGTATAAGGTAAACTGTCCAAATACAGTTGTTATCAGTGTAAACAGCAATAATTACTGTAATCTCACAGATAATGACTTTATTACACTTCTATAACTGATTTTAAGATGAAAATAAAAATATAGAAATGAGAATTATTTTACAGAACAAAAAGTAAAAATATCAACATTTAATGAGAAATGAAACGTAGTGCCATTTTTAACACCTCAATATGAGTCACATTAACAAACATATAGTATATATAGTAATTATATATATATAATCATTATAATAAGTTTGTGGCAATTAGAATAAAACACAACAACAAAGCAGTGGTCTTCATCATCACCATCACTGTTTACTTTTGTGATTTGTCTTATTTATTCTCCTGTACAGCACTTTGGTTGTTTTTAAAGTGCTTAACAAATAAAGGTGGATTGGATTGGACAACTTTATTAATCAATGTGACCGTGACTGAAACTCTCCTGCTGAGTCATCACATTTTATAAAAGAAGGCTGTGGACAACTACGACTCCCAGGGTGCATTTCAGCAGCGCGTCCAATCACAGAGCTTCATAATCTGTTATATTTAAAGTACCAAAAGTATTATACATATTTTCTAATCTTAGATAAAAGATCAGCAAAACAGCACATTACAGGATAAAATCATTTATTATTATTTATATTATTATTTATATTAGCCACGCTAGCATTGTTGCTAACTCCAGCATGTTTGCATCTTTTATTGTTTATGTTCTTGTTCATTAACACGTCCTGTCCCTATCAAGTAAACAAATAAAAGTAATCAGGTCATCCTGTGCAAACTGACCCGAACCAGCTAATCTCCATAGTTACCACAGATATAACTGGCTACGGTGAAGATTAGCTAACCTGTTAGCTACGGTTTGCTGACATTAGCAATCAGTAGCTAGCTAACTAACAATTGATGTAGATTAGCTACAAAAGCTAAATTAGCATTTTGCTAACATTAGTTAACTTAAGATGTGTCTTTTATCTTTTAACCATCTTTAAAATGTGCTTATCTTTTCAACATAGATTAGCTTAGCATATAGCATATCTAAGTACAGGAAAGGAGGAAGTTGACTTGAGCTTGCTCAACTGTGATTGGAGCACAGAGTAAAAAGGGGGCGGGGCTTAAGAAGAGTCAGTTGGTCTTAATGAAGCAGCGTGTTTTATAAAGTCCTTTGATCCTTCAAACAATGTGAACAGCAGAAACTACAGTGGCTGCAAAACTCTACTGTACAAACCTGGCGGACTCCGCCAGCAGAGGAGCCGCTGCCTCCGTAGATAAAAACCTCTCATTCACAATGATTCTTATTGTCAGCTGATTAAACTCTAATGAAAACAAACCGACAGATATTACATTAATGTTACACACTGTTCATTTACTGACACACAAAGCTCAACAAACTCGACAGACACAAAGAGGAGAAGTCTGGCTGGAGGTCTCACCCTCTTCAGGTAGTCTGCCAGCTGCTGCGGACTCCACCCCATCACCTCAGACCTGGACGGCACCCGGTCCGAGCTCATCCTGCGTCCTCCTTAAAGACACCACGTCCGTGCAGCTGCTGTCAAACCGAACACTGCCGAGAGCAGACGACCATCTGAGTCAGCGACGGACACTTTTTCAGCCTCGCAGCCTCGTCCTGCTTCCCCCGTTCGACCTCGCTCCTCGCTCCTTCCTGCGAAAAACAGAAAAACCAAACTTCTCATAAAGACTCACAGAAAATAAAATAACTGCCAACTGTCTTCAGAAAAGTTTTACTTCCTCAAATAAACTCACCGCTCGCCTCTCCGAGAGTCTCTCCAGAGCAAAGAAACCAGAAAGAAGAAAGCAGAGTGCAGGCCACTGAGGAACCAAAATGGCTTCCTTCTCTCTTTCTCTCTCTTCTCCACTCTTTCTATGTGTCTCTCTATCTTTTCTTTACCTCTCCTTCCTCCCTTCTCTCTCTCAGAGGAAGTGACTGTGCAGGGGGGGGAGGCAGCATCCTCCTCCCCCCCGTCTGACCACAGAGCGGAACAGACGCTGCAGTTGCACCCACTCGCTGCAGCTCGCCGCCTGACGGGAAACAGCGTCGGTTAAAAACAGACCCTGGATCAGTTTGAGAGCTCAGTCTGATCCCTGCAGCATTTAACACTGAACCAGGGTCAGTTTACTGGAGTCCATCAGGAGTTCATGTTTGTGCGTCAACGACTGGAAAATAAAGCTTTCAAACATTTAAATGTTCCGTATGTGAGAGAGTGAACGGGTTGTGGCTTTGTTCCTCTGCTGCCTGTCCACTGAGCCTGTGTGTTTCTATAAAGGGATGAGGGTCAAAGGTTGCGACCTTTATGCTCCCGGCCTCGGCATGGACAGTGGGGTGCCAGAGCTCCTGTAATCTATAACATTTAACACATTTAATTTAACTGTGTCGGGGAAAAACCCTCCTCTCCCTCCTCCTCTGGCAGTGCTGGGTGTGAAGTCACATGACTGCCTGCTAATGGAAGTCTGATAACCGCTCAGACCGGACGAGACTCACCACAAACCCTCAGAGACGGCGGTGTGGAGGTGGATTCTGAAGGCCAGACCTGGTCCGGTTGGCTCAGAGACAGCCAGTCTGATGGGAGAGGTGCATTCTGGGAGCGCAGATGCAAAAATAAATCCCCCACATGGAGAAGTGGCGGTCACCGCTGATGGTAACGGCGCCGCTGCAGCGTGAAAATGCAAATAAGTAGAAGTTGGTTGGGTTTCACACTGCGTCTAAAATAATCTTATTTTCACATTCAGTTAATGAGAAAAACTTTAATTAGTTACAGAGAAGAAGAACTTCCTTAAACTGCCTGTAGTTTACTTCCTGTTTCTATAACAGAATGTAAACATTTCAGTTGGTTAAACACAAACAAACAAACACTGAAATAAACAACAAATTTACTAAAATGGCATTTCTGCCACAACATGGTCCCGATGAAGTGGTGAAGCAGCGTGGGATCATGGGAGTTGTTGTCTTCACCACCATTGGTGTCATTGCAGTCAGCTTCTCCCGGTTAGGATTCCTTCAGTGTTCATGGTTCAGGAGGTTTCTACCGGGAGCCCAATGATCCACAGAGGTCTCCTCCTCTCCAACACAAACAGACCCGCTGATTAAAACCACTAAACACACTGAATAAAGCAGTTCCACCTTAAACACACTGAATAAAGCAGTTCCACCTTAAACACACTGAATAAAGCAGTTCCACCTTAAACACACTGAATAAAGCACTTCCACCTTAAACACACTGAATAAAGCAGTTCCACCTTAACAATCACTGCTTCTCCCACGCTGTTGGACAGACAAAGGACGTCCCGGAGGGGCTGCGAGCCGAGCTGCTGCTAATCTATCTATCTATCTATCTATCTATCTATCTATCTATACAGAAGTTATCTCAGGACACTTTTCAAATAGAGCAGGTCTAGACCGAACTCTTTATAACATTAATTACAGAGACCCAACAGTACCACCATGAGCAAGACCTTGGAGACAAGGGCAAGGAAACACTGCCTGTTAAAAGGCAGAAACCTAGGACAGATCCTCCGGCTCTAGGTGGGTGGTCGTCTGTCTCCACCAGTTATGATATCATGCTAATAGAATGAGGCTAAAGCTAACAGGGTGCAGCTGTTGTCTCTGAAGATTGTTGTGGTTTAATTTTTCCGTCTGAATGCACCTCAATCGATGTCTATCTGACATTAACCTTTATCTATCTGACTGTAGTGAGAGACCACAAAGTCCCACTGAAGGAACCCAGAATGGTGACACAGACTCACAGAAAGCAAAGAGAATTGAGCGTTTCACTCCACGTGCAGATTTATTTGCATCAACACAGGATATAAACAAACCCTGTTGTCTTGAGAATCAACTAACTAGAACAAAGAAAATCACTCTGTTATATTCCTCTTTCCCAAAAGGTGTCTATTGGTGACGTCTAATGTCTGATAAGCAGTAGTTATAACACATCTGATGTCCTACTCTCCAGGAGACAGCCTTGGTCTCTATAATGTGCTTATGGCACAATGAATAACTCTATCCTAACTAGTGTGAGACAACCAGTGTGAATACATGAGGATGGAATATACATGAACATAAAATATTATACTGTAAGCCTATAAAATTAAACACGAAATAGCACAACATAATATAGTTTGCTTCATGTTCACAGAATCTTATCCCTCAATGCATTTTCCCCACTACAAGATCCAAAAGACTTTGTCTAACTTTGACTTTATTGAGTTCACTGATTGTTTTTGACTTTCTCATTAATTTTTCTGTAACAGGATTTAAACCAAAGTAAAAACAGTCACAGAAATATGAGTGAAAGTGAATTTGCTCTGGTTGTTTTCTTTGTGATGTGATCTCAGAGCAGTGTGATGGATCATATTTCCCTTTAAAATGAGACACAGCAGTCAGCTGACAAAGCTCCGCCCCTTAATGACATTACCTGAGACCGACTAGGAAACAGGTTGTTCCTGTTCAGTTCTTACTGAGGAGAGACACACAGACGGAGAGACAGACGGTAAGATTTACCTTCATTACAAAGCTGTGACTTTAACTGAGGGAGGACAGTTACAGGACGGAGGACTGAAGTACTCTGAAGTTCTTCAACCAGCTGCTGACTGTAAAAACTCTCAAAGTGAAAGTAACTGAGGCAACTTTTTACAGCAGGGCAGGAACCATAACTGACCAACCTGTTTAACGTGTTGTCTGCTGTTTCCAGCTGCACTCAGAGACAAATGGCTTCCAGATTAGAGGAGGATTTCTGCTGTACGATCTGTCATGAGGTCTTTAGAGATCCTGTTGTTCTGTCATGCAGCCACAGCTTCTGTAAAGACTGTCTGAAGAGCTGGTGGAAGGAGAAACAAACGTGAGTGTCCAGTTTGTAAAAGAAGATCTTCGAAGGATCAGCCACCTTTAAGCCTGGCTTTAAAGAACCTGTGTGAGAGTTTCTTACAGGAGAGAGATCAGAGATCTTCAGAGGCTCTCTGCAGTCTGCACTCGGAGAAACTCAAACTCTTCTGTCTGGACCATCAGCAGCCAGTGTGTGTTGTCTGCAGAGATTCAAAACAACACACCAACCACAGATTCAGACCCATTGATGAAGCTGCACAGGATCACAAAGAGAAGCTCCAGAAATCTCTGGAGCCCTTTAAAGGAGAAGTTAAAGGTTTGTGAAGGAGTTAAAGTGAAGTTTGATCAAACAGCAGAACACATGAAGGTCCAGGCCCGACGCACAGAGAGGCTGATTAGGGAGCAGTTTAAGAAGCTTCACCAGTTTCTAGAAGAGGAAGAGGAGGCCAGGCTGGTTGGACTGAGGGAGGAAGAGGAGCAGAAGAGTCAGATGATGAAGGAGAAGATGGAGGCCCTGAGCAGAGAGATAGCAGCTCTTTCAGACACAGTCAGAGCCACAGAGGAGGAGCTGAGAGCTGAAGACGTCTCATTCCTGAACAACTACAAGGCTGCAGTGGAAAGAGTCCAGCAGCGCCCCCTGCTGGAGGATCCACAGCTGCCCTCAGGAGCTCTGATAGACGAGGCCAAACACCTGGGCAACCTGACCTTCAACATCTGGAACAAGATGAAGGACATGGTCTCCTACACTCCTGTGATTCTGGATCCAAACACTGCTCATCCAGAACTCGTCCTGTCTGAAGATCTGACCAGTGTGAGAGGAGGAGAGGAACAGCAGCTTCCTGATAATCCAGAGAGGTTTGATTATTACGGCTCTGTTCTGGGCTCTGAGGGCTTTAACTCAGGGACTCACAGCTGGGATGTCGAGGTTGGATACAGTACAGTCTGGTTACTCGGTGTGTTTGCAGAGTCTGTCCAGAGGAAGGGAATCATAGAGTCTGGATTATGGAGAATACAGTTCTATAAAGGTAAATACTCAGCACGGTCACCACCAGCTCCATCCACTGGTCTCGTAGTTCAGAAGAAGGTCCAGAGGATCAGAGTGAATCTGGACTGGAACAGAGGAAAGCTGTCGTTCTCTGATCCTGATACTAACACACACATACACACCATCACACACACTTTCACTGAGAGGATGTTTCCATACATTAACACTGTGAATAAAGTGAAGATATTACCAGTGAAGGTCAGTGTGACAGTGGAACAGAGCAGTTCGAGATAAAGAGGATGATTATATTCATCATGTTTGTTTGTTTCTCTCTCTTTTTATTTAGTTTGAAGATTTGCTTTTTGTTTCTACTGTCGACCTTTTAAAGTGTAAAATTATTTCACTTAGTTTCTGATCTTTGTGTTTGTTTCTTTTTATTACTTTTAATGTAAAAATGTTTAAATGATCTAAAATATCTGAACAATGTTTGCTGTGATGAAGTGGAGATGATTCAGTTTGTATCAGTCCTTCTATTTAAGGTGGATGTCTCGTGTTTAAGGTGGTAAATGGGACGACGACCAAGTAAAAGAAAACAGTTTATTAAAATGTGAATTTAAAGTTGTGACAAACAGTTTGAGTTTTTCTTTCTTCCTCAGAAACACTGAACACGATTAAATATCTTTATTCTGAATGCAAACTTTATATTTAATCTGTTTCTGTGAGCAGGAGAAAAGATGAAAACATAAAACGACTTCTTCTGAACACAAACAAACAAAGTATCTGGATGACCATGAACGCATCACAGACTTGCCGCCAACTTAAAGGAAGTTTTGTGGTCTGGTTTCGTCCTCCTGTCCGTACGTCTGACAGCATTTCACTCAGCAGCTTCACCTCTCTCACAGGAAGCTGCTGATCTCACTACTGACACACTACCAAAATAAGAGCCTGGCTGTAGAGAGGGTAAAGAATATTTTCAGAATAAAAGTCTGAACCCAGACTGTGCCGCAGGACTCCTTCCTGTATGAGGAGTCTCATTCTGGTCTCAAACTCCAGCTGTCTGAGGGAGGGGGGCCGGAGCCGGAGCCAGAGCCAGAGCCAGGTTCCAGTCCTGGTGGTCCGGATGAGGAAGAGGGGGGTGGGGGGGATGAGAGGGGGGGGGGGTCAGTGACTCTTCTTGGACGAGCCGAAGCCTGAGAAACCCATCACCGCCGCCATCTCATCATCCTCCTCAAAGTCCACGTCCTCCTCCGCCCGACGCTTCCGCTCCTTCTGCTTCTCCTTCTTGTAGGCCTTCGCCTTCTCCTCCTGACAGACAGGCAGGCAGACAGACAGGTCATGTTTTATGTATTAAACGTCCTAATTAACATCCAGCAGAAACTTCATTCATTTTTTACATCTAAAACACACCAGTGGCTCAGATAATACATTAACACATTAATTAACATAAACATTAAATAACACACATATTAATTAACAAATATATTAATTAACATAAACATTAAATAACACACATATGAATTAACAAATATATTAATTGACATAGGACGACGGACAGACAGAGACGTCTGTTAGAGACTCTGC